AATTGCCCCTATTTACCCTTATTTTCCTCAACTTTCTTAAACGTGTACCAGTTTTCTTTAAAACACGATGGGGTGATAAATATATGTTATCCACATCAAATAATGCTGCTGTGTTCGAAAACAAGTCTTTCTGGAGACGTTGCTTACATTTTTCGTTCTTGCCCCAATTTATCCTTATTTTCCTCGCCTTTCTTAAACGTATACCATTTAGCTTCAAAACACGATGGGGCAATAAATATATGTTATCCACATCAAATAATGGTGTCGTGTTCGAAAACAAGTCTTTCCGGAGACGTTGCTTAAATTTTTCGTTCATGCCCCTATTTACCCTTATTTTCCTTGACTTCTAAAACTTGTACCATTTTTCTTCAAAACACGATGGGGCAATAAAATATATATTATCCACATCAAATAAAGGTGGGTGTTCGAAAACAAGTCTTTCCATAGACGTTACTTACATTTTTCGTACTTGCCCCAATTTACCTTTATTTTCCTCGACTTTCTTAAACGTGTACCATTTTGCTTCAAAACACGATGGGGCGTTAAATATATGTTATCCACATCAAATAATGGTGCCGTGTTCGAAAACAAGTCTTTCCGAAGACTATATTTTTCATACTTGCCCCTTTTTATTCCTCGACTTTCTTAAACGTGTACCATTTTTCTTTAAAACACGGTAGGGCGATAAATATATGTTATCCACATCAAATTATGGGGCCGTGTTCGAAAACAAGTCTTTCCGGACACGTTGCTTACATTTTTTGTACTTGCCCCTATTTACCCTTATTTTCCTCGACTTCCTTAAACGTGTACCATTTTGTTTCAAAACACGATGGGGCGATAAATATATATTATCCACATCAAATAATTGTGTCATGTTAAAAAACAAGTCCTTTCGGAGACGTTACTTACATTTTTCGTATTTGCCCTATTTACCCTTATTTTCCTCGACTTTCTTAAACGTGTACCATTTTGCTTCAAAACACGATGGGGCGTTAAATATATGTTATCCACATCAAATAATGGTGCCGTGTTCGAAAACAAGTCTTTCTGGAGACGTTGCTTATATTTTTCGTACTTGCCCCTGTTTACCCTTATTTTCCTCGACTTTCTTAAACGTGTACCATTTTGCTTCAAAACACGATGGGACGATAAATATATATTAGCCACATCAAATAATGGTGCCGTGTTCGAAAACAAGTCTTTCCGAAGACTATATTTTTTGTACTTGCCCCAATTTATTCCTCGACTTTCTTAAACGTGTACCATTTTTCTTTAAAACACGATAGGGCGATTAATATATGTTATCTACATCAAATTGTTGTGCCGTGTTCGAAAAAAAGTCTTTCCGGACACGTTGCTTACATTTTTCGTACTTGCCCCTATTTACCCTTATTTTCCTCGACTTCCTTAAACGTGTACCATTTTGTTTCAAAACACGATGGGGCGATAAATATATATTATCCACATCAAATAATTGTGTCGTGTTAAAAAACAAGTCTTTTCAGAGACGTTACTTACATTTTTCGTATTTGCCCTATTTACCCTTATTTTTCTCGACTTTATTAAACGTGTACCATTTTGCTTCAAAACACGATGGGGCAATAAATATATGTTATCCACATCATATAAAGGTGCCGCGTTGGAAAACAAGTCTTTCCGGAGACATTGCTTACATTTTTCGCAATTGCCCCTATTTACCCTTATTTTCCTCGACTTTCTTAAACGTGTACCAGTTTACTTTAAAACACGATGGGGCTATAAATATATGTTAACCACATCAAATAATGGTGCTGTGTTCGAAAACAAGTCTTTCCGGAGACGTTGCTTACATTTTTCGTTCTTGCCCATATTTACCCTTATTTTACTCGACTTTCTTAAACGTGTACCATTTTGCTTCAAAATACGATGGGGCGATAAATATATGTTATCCACATCAAATAATGGTGCCGTGTTCGAAAACAAGTCTTTCTGGAGACGTTGCTTATATTTTTGGTACTTGCCCCTATTTACCCTTATTTTCCTCGACTTTCTTAAACGTGTACCATTTTGGTTCAAAACACAATGGGACGATAAATATATATTATCCACATCAAAATAATGATGTCGTGTTCGAAAACAAGTCTTTCCGAAGACTACATTTTTCGTACTTGCCGCTTTTTATTCCTAGACTTTCTTAAACGTGTACCATTTTTCTTTTAAACACGGTAGGGCGATAAATATATGTTATCCACATAAAATTATGGTGCCGTGTTCGAAAACAAGTCTTTCCGGAGACGTTGCTTACATTTTTCGCACTTGTCCCTATATACCCTTACTTTCCTCGACTTTCTTAAACGTGTACCATTTTGCTTCAAAACACGATGGGGTGAAAAATATATGTTATACACATCAAATTATGGTACCGTGTTCGAAAACAAGTCTTTCCGGAGACGTTACTTACATTTTTCGTACTTGCCCTAATTTACCTTTATTTTCCTCAACTTTCTTAAACGTGTACCATTTTGCTTCATAACACAATGGGGCATTAAATATATGTTATCCACATCAAATAATGGTGCCGTGTTCGAAAACAAGTCTTTTTGGAGACGTTGCTTATATTTTTCGTACTTGCCCCTATTTACCCTTATTTTCCTCATGTAATATCCCGAGATTTTATCAGTATAAATTATGTTTAATTCCGATATAGTAACGTTATCGTTTATTATTTTCGGAATTAATTAAGTTCAGTCGGGATTACCGAAATTTATTTTCGACGTACCGTTTACGTTCGAAATAATTTTGGTAATTAAGTATTATATTTAATTATTTAATTAAACATTATATTAAGTGATTAATAGTGATTAATCACAAATTATGGTCCAAAGCCGTGGGGATATAAAGTAATTTTCCCCACAATTCTTATAAGCCGTGTAATATAATTTCATGTACAAATTTTCCAAAAATTCTTAAGTCTTAAGAAAGGTTTTTAACCAATAAAAATTGAGCAAATGTCAAGCTTAGAGAAAGCTTAGTCATCTAATGGGCTTAAGAAAGGAGAGCAAGTGTCATTAGCTTGGGAAGGCCACGCCTTAGCCACTTCATCGCCCATCTCCTCGGCAACTCATATATAAGGGATACTTAGGCCAAAATTTTGGTCATGTTTTCCCTTAAGTACAGATCCTATATTTAGTATATATATCAACCCACTTTAATCAGCAAGCTTCCCTAATTTCCAATACAATCGCACGGCATAAGCTTGGTACCGCACGGCGCACGCGAGAAGAAGCCACGCTTTAATTCCGAGTTCCGTCGAGCGATCAACAAGGTAAATTCCCCTTTAGTTCATGATCATGTTAATAAGTTCAATTCAGAGTTAAACGTTCGGATTAATTGCGAGAATTTTGAGTAAAATCCTGAAAAGGCCGAACATATTTGAGTTAGATTATCACCGAACAATCTTTGATTTCTCCCGGCAACTTTCGAACCAAAATCATGTAAATGTTCAGTATAGTCCATTTTGAGTTCAGTATGATCAGATTGTTGAGGTGAAATGAAGTATTGCTGAGGAAATGGCCCCAGCCGACGCCGCGCCTATCGCGCGTGGCCTCGGGTAGCCGCGGGCCGAGGCTTGTTACTTCAGTATTAATCATGTTCTTCAGTGTGTTTAAGTCTTAAATCGTTTCAGTATATTGATCATGTTATAAGGTTCTGAAGTTGTCGAGTAAAGAGGCTGTTTGGCCGAGTGATGGCCGTAGGCCTCGCATATAGCGAGTGCA